TGGGATTCTCTCGCTGTTTGGGATTCTCTCGCTGTTTGGGATTCTCTCGCTGTTTGGGATTCTCTCGCTGTTTGGGATTCTCTCGCTGTTTGGGATTCTCTCGCTGTTTGGGATTCTCTCGCTGTTTGGGATTCTCTCGCTGTTTGGGATTCTCTCGCTGTTTGGGATTCTCTCGCTGTTTGGGATTCTCTCGCTGTTTGGGATTCTCTCGCTGTTTGGGATTCACTCGCTGTTTGGGATTCTCTCCTTCTCTGGGATTATTTGGAATTCGCAGCTTCCTGAGCCTTTGGGGTTTTTTCCTCGCTCGCGCCGTTAACGACCCGCGCTGGGAATTGGGGCCGCGGGCAGCGCCGGGCACGGGGGATCCTAAACACACACACACAGAAATCCTATAGATACACAGAGATCCTATAGACAGAGACCCTAAACACACACACTGAGAAATCCTATAGATACACAGAGATCCTATAGACAGAGACCCTAAACACACACACTGAGAAATCCTATAGATACACAGAGATCCTATAGACAGAGACCCTAAACACACACACTGAGAAATCCTATAGATACACAGAGATCCTATAGACAGAGACCCTAAACACACACACTGAGAAATCCTATAGATACACAGAGATCCTATAGACAGAGACCCTAAACACACACACTGAGAAATCCTATAGATACACAGAGATCCTATAGACAGAGACCCTAAACACACACACTGAGAAATCCTATAGATACACAGAGATCCTATAGACAGAGACCCTAAACACACACACTGAGAAATCCTATAGATACACAGAGATCCTATAGACAGAGACCCTAAACACACACACTGAGAAATCCTATAGATACACACAGAGACCCTATGGATACACAGATCCTATAGACACAGGCTCTACATACACACAGACAGACCCTATAGATAGACACAGAGACCCTATAGGGGCACAGAGACCCACTATAGACACGCAGATCCCCCTATAGACACAGACATCCCCTACAGATGCAGCCCCTATGGACACACCGAGCCCTATAGAGACAGATCCCCTATAGGGACAGATCCCCTATAGAGACAGATCCCCTATAGGGACAGATCCCCTATAGAGACAGATCCCCTATAGAGACAGATCCCCTATAGAGACAGATCCCCTATAGGGACAGATCCCCTATAGGGACAGATCCCCTATAGACACTGAGCCCTTCAACACTCACTGAGCCCTATGGGCACCGATCCCCTATAAACAGGGCCCTCACCCCCCTACACACCCCCTATAGACCCCAAACCGCACCCGAGCCCCCCACAGACCCCAAATCCCCCCCAAACCCCAAACCCCTCCCTCAGTCCCCAAATCCCCCCCAAATCCCACCCCAGACCCCAAATCCCCCCCAAATCCCACCCCAGCCCCCAAATCC